ATAAGAACTCACAATATTTACTGTACTGTTCCCTTATAATCCCATATATGACAAACTGTATAGGGATTTGGAGAAATACCTATAAAAGAAATGTCAATCCTATATTTATCCTACAAAAAAGAGCTATAAGAATAATCATGGCAGCAGAGTATCGTGAGCCAACAAACGATTTATTCATCAAACTTCATACTCTTCAATTCTTTGATCTAGTTAGGGAGAGGAGATAAGGTGTGCAGAGACAGTCGCTTCTTTTAAGTCAATTTTAAAAACTCACTTTTACAGACTTGCCTTTATGTGATGCCATCTTTCATCTTTTATCGTCTTTTACCTTTTTTCTTTTTCTCCTTTTTTCTTTTACCTCTCTTACCTCTTTCTTATTTAGACTTACTGCCTTTTTAGCCTTTGTTTTACTTATAATCTTTTCTTATTCTATCTCTCTGGTCCTTCATTGATTTTAATGTTTTTTATTTTCCTTTATTTTATTATATATATATATATATTTTTTTTTTAATTCCACTTTATCATTTATATTACCATCATTATTATTTTATTATTATTGTTAACATCCTCTTTTATACTTACTAGCCTGTTCCCTGCCCTCCTTTTCTATTAATTTTATGTTTTTATTTTGGTCCTCATGGTCCCATTTATTTTGTAGGGTTCTTGTATTGCCTGGGTTTCTTACGAAAAGTGAAACAGGCCTACAATTCAGAGGCCTGTTTTTAACTGAGCTTTTGTTTTTATGTGTTTTTATTTTCATGTGCTGATGTTCTGTGCTTGCAACTGTTGTCTAAGCACTTTGTAAACTTCTGTTTTTAAAGGTGCTATATAAATAAAATTATTATTATTATTATTATTATTATTATTATTATTATTATTATTATTATTAGTTCATCTCCAAACCTTATTGATTTTGTACAAAGCACATAACAATCTGCTGCCATACAGTCTCCAGAAGCTGTTTGTAATCAAAGATACCAAATATGAACTTAGAAGTACAGGTATGTTTACAAAAACACTAGTTAGGACTAATACAAAACAACATTGTGTATCTGTAAAAGGTGTAAGTCTGTGGACATGTTGTGATAAGGAATCGAGGAAGTGCAGTTCAATCTACATGTTTAACAAAGCGTTCAAAAACATGATGATTATAAAGTACAAGGAAGCTGAAGAATCACTTTAGACCCACCTGAAAATCTTTAGAGGGCGTCTGTTTCCCCTATTTTGTTCTTGTTCATTATGTATTTCTTTAAATTTTTCTCTGTATAGAAGAAAATAAAATATGTATAAAAATGTCATGAAAACTCTGTATGTGGAAGGAGTAGGCGCAATAAGCTGATAGCTTCAGCCTACACCCTTTTTGGTCAAACCAAGTAATTAACAGTATTTATTATTTCTAACTCCCATGTAATATAACTGTTTACATGAACGGATGACCAAAATAAACTAAACTAAACGTGAGGCAGCACCTGAGACACTTACTGAGTTTGAATATGTCCGGATGATTCCCGCCGTCCCGTGGAGGAGAATCGCTTTGTCCGATGGTTTCTAGAGGAAGTGATAACTACGTCCTGTGTGTGACGAGGTTATTCAGTGTAACAAATGTTGTACTGTGAACTGCATCACTGTCAACATGAAAACACAGTTATTTTAATCACAGGTGTCGGTTTAGAGCAGGGGTCAGCAACCCGCGGCTCTGGAGCCGCATGCGGCTCTTTCTTCCCTAAGCTGCGGCTCCCAATGGATTTGGAAAATAAATAATAAATACTTAATTGCATTTTATTTTATTTTATTATTATTATTATTATTATTATTTGTAATTCTAAATTCAAAGATTATAATGCTCTTGTAACATTAAATAAACTATTAAGGCTGCAACAACGAATCGATTAAGTAGATTCATCGTGACGAAAAAATCCGTTGCCAACAAATTCTGTAATCGATTCGTCGGGTCTTTATATATGTCCATGGACACCGGCGTGTAAACATCAGCAGGACGCACAGAAAAGAAACAGCCATGGCCGAGGCAGCGGCTGAGAAAAACATGGACACAACCCAACCCAAATCCCGACCTGAAACATCAGTGGTGTGGGAAAACTTCACCAAGACTGAAAAGGAAGGCGTTCAGTGCAACATTTGCAAAGACCGTTTTGCATGGCTCGGGAGTACATCGATGATGCGTGAGCACAGGGCTCTCAAGTCTCACGCATTCAGCATATGACACACGCATTCCCACTCGTTCACACGCTCACACACCACACATTGTATTTCTCACGCATTTAAATGAACACGGTGATGTCCAACAAGTTGCACTTCTTCAACTATTGAACTGGGGGAAATCAACTGAGTTCCTCCGAGAGTTCAGAAGCTGCGTGCCACGCACAAGCCAATCAAATAAAGTATATCTACTGAACAGCCAATCAAAAAGCAGCATTGCTGTATCCGGGTAGATTAGGATATCTTGCGGTTTAACTACAGAAGAAGACAGACACTCGCCGAAATAGTTCATTTATTTCATAAATGCAACTCGCTACAGTTTTTTATATACTTTGTATAAAGGTAAAAAAAAAAGATATATGCAATGTTATCTTCATTTTAGATGTCAAAGAGGTTTTGTGGCTCCCTGTGTTTTCTTTTCTGTGGGAAACTGGTCCAAGTGGCTCTTTGAGTGTTTAAGGTTGCCGACCCCTGGTCTAGAGTAACTCGACAGATCTGACGAGTCCTGCGCGGTTCTCAGAGAATCCCTGCTGGGTTTTAGTTCCTCTTCAAAAAGTCCCAGAACTGTTCGGTCCAAAAACACTTCTTGGTTTGAAGAACTTCACGATCAGACGAGTGAAGGTGTTTTTTTTCTTCTTCTTCAGGCAGAAACACGAGAAAGGCTTCACCGTGTGCGGTTTGGCGTGGCATCCATCAGGAACTCAGATGGTTTTCACCGACACAGAGGGGTGTCTGAGTCTGCTGGACGGACTCAAGTCCTCTTCGTCAAACTCGGAGTCCGCTCAGGTAACATCCTGGTTTTCTCTGACGCACCGTCTCTTCTTCCAGACGCCATTTTTCATCCTTTTTCCTCCGTGTCATCGTTTTCAGCCGACAGCAGCAAAGATGCCGGCGAAGGACTACAACGACCTGTTTGATGATGACGATGATGACGGCGGGCTCATGGACGAAGGGCTGAGCGACACTAACTCACCTGTGAAGAAACCGACCACGGGGGAGGATGACGACGACGATGACGACGTCCTGATGCCTTTAACGGGGCGGGTGAGGAACAGAGGGGCGATCCTGGACGATGAGAACTCTCAGGGTGAGCGAAACCTTCCTCAGCGCCGCCATTTCACCAGAGTCAGGCGTGAATTTACACGCGATGACCTCTAGGTGTCTCACCGAAGTGTCATGGATGTAAACGCAGGGTCGCTGAGGCTCGGTCTGGATAAATTCGGGGATGGCGGCGATGATGGCGACGACGCCGGAAGTGCTGTTGGACCTGCGGCGGTCCCAGCGGTGCCCCTGCGTCCCGTCTATGAGGGACCCATGCCGACGCCCCCACAGAAGGCCTTTCAGCCGGGCTCCACTCCTGCTCACCTCACACACCGCTTCATGGTAGGTCGTTCAGACAAAGTCCTTTCAAACACGTTAAATCGCCGTTTTGTTGTTGCTGAAAATCGCCAACGTGTTTGTGGTCACGCTCTCTCAGATGTGGAACTCGGTGGGAATTGTGCGAGGCTACAACGACGAGCAGGACAACGCCATCGATGTGGAGTTCCACGACTCGGCTGTTCACCACGCCATGCACCTCACCAACTCCCTGGGTCACATCATGGCGGATCTTTCCCAGGAGGCCGTGCTGCTGGCGTGCCCGAGCACAGACGAGCTCGCCAGGTAAATCAGCTTTTTATCTGTCTGTGGTTTTTCCTCTCAAACACGTCTCTGACCTCGACGTCGTTCCTTCTCTTCTCAGTAAGCTCCAGTGTCTCCACTTCTCATCCTGGGACACCAACAAAGAGTGGATGGTGGACCTGCCGCACGGCGAGGACGCTCGGGCGCTGTGTCTGGGTCAGGGCTGGGCCGCCGTGGCCACGAGCGCGCTGATGCTCCGCCTCTTCTCCGTCGGAGGAGTACAGAAAGAAGTCTTCAGTCTGCCGGGGGGCGTGGTCTGCATGAGCGGACATGGAGAGCAGCTGCTCATCGTCTACCATCGAGGTTGGAGAAACACAAACACACAAACAAACACACACACACAAATACACAAACACACACAAACACAAACACACATACACAAACACACACACAAACACACAAACACAAACACACAAACAAACACACACACACACTCATACACAAACGCAAACACACACAAACATACAAACACACACAAACATACAAACATACACACAACACACAAACATACATACACACAAACACACAAACACACAAACACACACAAACAAACACACACAAACACACAAACATACACAAACACACAAACACACACACACAAACACACACAAACAAACATACACAAACACACACATACACAAACACACACACACAAACACACACAAACACACACAAACACACAAACATACACAAACACAAACACACAAACAAACACAAACACACATACACACACACAAACACACAAATATACACAAACACACACACACAAACAAACACACAAACACACACAAACATACACACACACAAACATACACATACACAAACACACACAAACATACACAAACACACAAACATACACAAACGCAAACACACACAAACATACACAAACACGCAAAAACAAACACACAAACAAACACACACAAACACACACACACACACAAATATGAACACACACAAACGCAAACACACACAAACACACAAACACACACAAACACACACAAACATACACAAACACACAAACACACACACAAACACACACAAACACACACACACACAAACATACACAAACACAAACACACACAAACATACACAAACACACAAAAACAAACACACAAACACAAACACACACAAACACACACACACACACAAATATGAACACACACAAACGCAAACACACACAAACACACAAACACACACAAACACACACAAACATACACAAACATACACAAACACACACACACATACAAACACACACACACAAACACACACACAAACATACACAAACACACACAAACGCAAACACACAAACACACACACAAACACACACAAACAAACACAAACACACACAAAAGCAAACACAAAAGCAAACACACAAACAAACACACACACACAAAAAAACACACAAATATGAACACACACAAACGCAAACACACACAAACACACAAACACAAACATACACAAACATACACAAACACACAAACACAAACAAACACACACAAACACAAACACACAAACGTCTGTTCAGTTCATCTCTTTCTTTCTTTTACCCCGACCTCGCCTTTGTTTTGAGTTTCCAGATGTCGCTCAGCGTCCTTCTCAGACACACACACACACACAAACACACACAAACATACACAAACACACAAACGTTCAGTTCATCTCTTTCTTTTACCCCGACCTCGCCTTTGTTTTGAGTTTCCAGATGTCGCTCACCGTCTTTCTCAGACACACACACAAACACAAACACATACAAACACAAACACACACAAACACACAAACGTCTGTTCAGTTCATCTCTTTCTTTCTTTTACTCCGACCTCGCCTTTGTTTTGAGTTTCCAGATGTCTCTCAGCGTCTTTCTCAGACACACACACACACACAAACACACAAACACACACAAACAAACACACAAACGTCTGTTCAGTTCATCTCTTTCTTTCTTTTACCCCGACCTCGCCTTTGTTTTGAGTTTCCAGATATCGCTCAGCGTCTTTCTCAGACACACACACAAACACACACAAACACACACACAAACACACACAAACGTCTGTTCAGTTCATCTCTTTCTTTTACCCCGACCTCGCCTTTTTTTCAGTTTCCAGATGTCTCTCAGACGTCTTTCTCAGACATGTTTCATCGAAGTTCTAAGTCAAAGTGAAGCTTCCTCCTCACGTCTGTCTCTGTCTTCTGTGATCAGCGACAGGATTCGACGGAGAACAGGCTCTCGGAGTTCAGCTGCTGCAGTTTGGTCGGAGGAAGAAGCAGCTGATCCACGGGGAACCCCTCCCTCTGTCCCAGAGATCCCACCTGTCCTGGCTCGGGTTCACCGCTGAAGGTCAGTCTGTCGTTCTCCTGACCAGGCCTTCGTTATGACCTGAAAAAAACGATCATTACAGAGAATCGAGCGCGCTGATGTTTAAGAAGCGGTGCGCTTCGTGGTTGTTTTTCCAGGTACGCCTTGTTATGTGGATTCAGAGGGGGTGGTCCGGATGTTGAACCGCTCTCTTGGGAATACGTGGACGCCGGTCTGTCACACCAGAGAGACGTGCAAAAGTAAATCCGATCATTACTGGGTGGTTGGAGTTCATGAGAACCCTCAGCAGCTCCGGTGAGTTTCAGATTTATATCTCTAAAAAAAACAAACTACAAATTATTTTTGTTCAATTATTTATTGATTTTTTTATTGATTGTGAAGGAAACAAAGAATTCAATGGGGGGGTTTACACACTTTAACCTTTTGTCATTTACACCCTATTAGTCACATTAGCCCCGCCCACCCTCTGACATTTAAGAACATAAATTCACAGTTCAAACACCGAACAGTGCCTGTAACACAAGAAAACAACACAATATAACAGAACGATGAGATAATCAAATGAAATAAACGTCACGTAAAACAAAGACGAAAAACACAGACGGATCAGAAATCTCACAGCTGCTTATCAGTCCATGTTAAACATCTCTATACAGAAAAACCTACAAATTTATTTATGTATTTATTTGTCTTTAAATGTTCGGGATCTCATTTTTACGACAAAAAAAATAAAACTTTGAGATTAAAGTCGTTAATTTACGAGAATAAAGTCGTAATAAAATCTCTATGATGTTTATGATAACGTGGTGCTGATGTGCCAAAAGATGAAGTTTCTCTTTGTTTGAGAAACCTTGAGATGTATATTTTCATTTCATCTTAAACAACAGGTTAGAATTTAAGGACTTTAAATTGACTTTATTCTCATTAGTGATTACTTTATTACGACTTTCTTATTTTCCTCAACAATTTTTTTATTAGTTTTATTCAGATTAATAGAGTACAGCTCTTGAAAAAGGTACAAAGGAAACGTTCATCACAAACACCCCCTTTCCCTGAAGACCCTGTCTACTGCTGGATATTCCTGTTACTGGGCTTAGATAACAAACTGCTGGAAATCAGGTTTAGAAGATCGTGAAATATATAAGACGCTGGGAAATAAAAAGTAAAAAGAAAATGAGTGAAATGAACTTTTGTACGTTAAGAGAAAAATAAATGTAGACAAGTCACTGAAAACTGAAAAAGTTCATAAAAGAGAGAAAAGAATTTAAAGAGTCTGATTATAAAACATCACAGATATTTCAGAAAGAAAACTACTAAAGGAAGCACTTCACACATCTGTAAAACAAGACCGCTGCGTTGGAGAAAAAAGACCAACATGAAACAAAGAGATTCCTGCAGACTGTCCAACTGTCAATCAATCATTTATTTGTGACGTTTCTGTATCAGACCTTTGCCTGATGAAGGTCTGATACAGAAATAAATGCAAATAAATGATTGATTGAAAAATGGACAGTGTGCAGGAATCCCTCTGCTACAAAAAGAAAACAACGAGGAGAGGAGAGAAGAAGAGAGAAGAGGAGAAGAGGAGAGAAGAGGAGAGAAGAAAAGAGGAGAGAAGAGGAGAGGAGAGAAGAGGAGAAGAGAGGAGAGAAGAGGAGAGGAGAAGAGGAGAAGAGAGAAGAGGAGAGAGAAGAGGAGAGAAGAGGAGAAGAAGAAGAGAGGAGAGAAGAGGAGAGGAGAGAAGAGGAGAAGAGAAGAGAGGAGAGAAGAGGAGAGAAGAAGAGGAGAGGAGAGAAGAGGAGAAGAGAGAAGAGGAGAGAGAAGAGGAGAGAAGAAGAGAGAAGAGGAGAGAAGAGGAGAAGAGAGGAGAGAAGAGGAGAGAAGAGGAGAAGAGAGGACAGAAGAGAAGAAGAGAGAAGAAGAGAGGAGAGGAGAGGAGAGAAGAGGAGAAGAGAGGAGAGAAGAAGAGAGAAGAGGAGAAGAGAGGAGAGAAGAAGAGAGAAGAGGAGAAGAGAGGAGAGAAGAGGAGAGAAGAGAAGAAGAGAGGAGAGAAGAGGAGAGACGAAGAGAGATAAGGAGAAAAGAAGAGAGAAGAGGAGAGAAGAAGAGAGGAGAGAAGAGGAGAAGAGAGGAGAGAAGAAGAGAGAAGAGAAGAGGAGAGAAGAGAAGAAGAGAGAAGAGGAGAGAAGAGAAGAAGAGAGAAGAGGAGAGCGCTGATTTAAAATGATGAGAGTCTCTGAACGTGGTCAGGAAAAGGTCCCCGAACCTTTCTGAATTTTTTCATCATTATCTGCGACCGAGTAACGAATCTTCACGAATCTCCCTCCTGTTTTTATTTGTTTCTCTTTTTTTGTCCGTAATCCTCTTTTATACGTTTCTCATGTGAAACAGAAATCATCTAAATCTTTACGGGGGGGGGGGAGTCTCAGGGAAACAAACAAACCTGATCATCATGACCGACCTATGACCTAACCTAAAACCAACATCTGAACGCTCGTCTGACAGTTTTAAAGGTCGTTTCCTTCGCTCGACATCAACTCTGCTCTCGTCCTGTCAGGTGTATCCCATGTAAAGGCTCCAGGTATCCCCCCACCCTGCCCAGACCTGCTGTGGCCATCCTGCCCTTCAAGCTGCCGCTGTGTCAGACCAGCACGGAGAAAGGACAGATGGAGGTAGAGACACCGGAACACCCTGACACCCAGAGTTCTGCGGGAGTTTCTAAATAAAAAAACAGTCTTTGCAGGTTAAAAAAGAAGAGCTCAGTCTCCACCCACGTCTTCTTCTGTCTCCTCCACAGGAACAGTTCCTGCGCTCGCTCCTCTTCCACAACCACTACAGCTTCCTGTCATCCAGCGGCTACGAGGTCGACGAGGACGCACAGAGTCAGTCTGAGAAGGAGCGACAGGAGCTGCTCATGAAGATGTTTGCAGTGAGAACGAGAGACCGACAGTCAGAAGATGTTCAGGTCAGTGTGAGAACGTCACTAAACCAGAGTCCGTGTTTCCCCTCAGCTGTCCTGTAAGCTGGAGAGAGAGTTTCGCTGCGTGGAGCTGGCAGAGATGATGACTCAGAACGTCGTGACCCTCGCCATTCGGTACGCGTCCAGGTCCAGGCGTATCGCCCTCGCCCAGCGGCTCAGTGAAATCGCTCTGGAGAAAGCAAACCAGATCCAGGAGGAGGAGGAGGAGGAGGAGCAGCAGTACTCCACACCAACATCCAGGTAGAGCTTGAATCGATCTTCACCTTTTCCACACGCTAGGATGATGTCAGGGTGACCGCGGGTCCTTGGAAAGTCTTAAAAAGTCTTAAAAAGTCTTAAAAAGTCTTAAATTCAGATCAGATAGGTTGTCAGATCATGACCTGGATCAGCAGAGTTCACTGTGAATTGATTATCTGCTGAAGCTCCTGGTTTGATCCTCTGGTCCGGTTTCTGGACAGGTATGGACAGAGTGAGTCCTCTGGAGGACGGTACAGCAGCAGATCCAACCAGGAGCAGGAAGAGGAGCTCAGGGAGGAAGAGGAGGGACAGGAGCTGGAGAGCGAAGAGTCGACAGAGACCAGAGGACGTCAGTTCACCTTTTCTGTTTCAGTCAAATATCATCCTTATTCTCAAACAGGAGTGAGGTTTAATAAAATGTCTCTGATGGTTATAAATAATTTCAGGTTTATATTTTGATCCAATCGTAGAGCAAAGATGATCGAGACAACAAAAGACTGAAAAACTGTAAAAATAATAAATAATAAATACAGTTTCAGAGGAGTAACATCGCACAAATTAAACAGCTGGTGAAGGAGTCTGCGGAGCTGCCGTCAGATTTAAAAAGATTTTAGAAAAAACAGTTTGAAGCCTTAAAATCCTGTTTTTGGATTTTCCACCATAACATGTAGAGTTTAAATCGATCAATCAATCAATCAATCAATCAGTTTTTATTTATAGAGCACTTTTCATACACGACCATGTAGCACAAAGTGTTTTAGACAGAAAAAGGAATAAAAGAAACAAAGAAAACCCAAATCTACCCCAATCTAACCCTAAGGAAACACTGGAGCTTTTAGATTAAAATCTAAAAATAAAGAAACATAAAATGAAATTTAAGAAATAATAAATAAAATGAAATAAAAACAGTAAAAGAAACTAAAATAAGAGAATCAAAAGAGCTCAATAAAAGACGATCCTGTCATTAAAACTAGAAAGAGATAAAAGTTAAATCACTTAAAGTTAATGATGTAAAATTTAGTTAAAATTAAACAGGTTTGTTTTGAGCGGAGGACTCTTCCTGTCTCATAAGGTAACAGCAGAAAGCCATGAAGAGCTTTAAAAACCAATAAAACAACTTTAAAATCCACCGTATTTTTCACACTGTAAGGCGAATTTAAAATCCTTTAATTTTCTCTAAAATCCTCAGTCCTCATGTCTGAATTCTGGTCGTGCTGACTGACCTCAAACTGATTTTATTTGGCACACAGCGCTCAACAATCTGTCAAAATGTTTCATTACGACTTCGGTACAAAGACGCACAGCCTGATGGTTTGTCGGAGCGCCGCAGCTGCCGTAGCCTCGCCGAGTTATTGAAGGAGTTTAATAAAGTTTGACTTATCTGACTGTTTTGTTTGTCTTAATGCGCTTTATAATCCGGTGAAAAATACGGTATTCATAAAGAGACAGATGGCCAATCCAGAGACCTTAAAATCCCAAATGAAGTCTGTTTCTGCTGCATCAGATCCTCACGCAGCGTCCCCAATCTTGTGGTTTTGGGTTAAAATAAGATTTGATGAACATGTCTGAGGTGTTTTATCGTGTCTTACTCTGAAGGTGTGAACCCGTTCGCTAAGGAAGCCGGATCACCTGTGAAGCCCTCTCTGACACCAAGTGAGTAACAGTCCGAACATCTGACCTCCTGCTGCTCTGATCATTCATTCAAACTCCTGATGTTTCTGTTTTCACAGTCGCCAAGCTGGGACGGTCTAATCCTTTCAAGGTAAGAACTCTTTTAAAACGGAGTATAACTCAAACAGAAGATGGAACGATGAATAAAGACGCTGATCAATGTGGTGATGGGTTTCACACACACACACACACAGGTGCAGGGCTCAGGGAAACCCTCGTCTTCTCCCGGTCAGCCTCGGGTCACAAATATCCTCGACAGTATGACAGCCAGCAAGAAGTCTGCTTCGCTCGGCGGCCCTGCGGGGAAACAAGGCAAAGGCCCCGTCCTCAAACCGCTGGCCCCCAGACCCAAAACTCAAAAGGTACCATCGCTGAGTCCGAACGGTCCTGAATGATCGTAACGCCTCCACATCATCAGGTCACCACAGAGCTGATACCTTCTCTGTTTCTCTCCAGACTCAGTCCACTCTGCAGATGACAAAACCAGCCGGTAAGAGGACCCAGGAGAACACAGAACCGCCTGCAGATCGGCAGAAACAACCAGAAGCCCCGCCTCCTGCCTCACCTGCAGAGAACACAGAAAATCAGAGGTAACAGACCGAACTGAACCCTTTAAAGTGACCGTGAAAGAACGGTGAGGTGATGAGCTGATGAGCTTTTGTTGTGGACCGTGTTTGTACAGACCGAAGACGGGCTTCCAGCTGTGGTTAGAGGAGAACAGGAAGAGCATCATCGCCGACCAGCCGGACCTGGAGGAGACGGACGTTATCAAGGAGGCGATGGGACGCTTCAGGACGCTGTCGGCGGAGGAGAGACTGGTACGACACACTGAGGGGAGGGAGGGAGACGATAAAGACGAGGTCTTTAAAAATGTGTCTTTAAGGCGAGTTTATCAGTAAAACATCATTCATACAAACGGGAATTCAGAGGGCTGAGCAGACGCAAGGAAATACATAAATAGGAGATTAAAACAATTTAAAATCAATACAGTCCAACTTCAGATCTCTGTGATCCAACATGTCGGATATTTAAAGCATCAGATTGACTAAAAGCTTGAAATCCTGAAGAGTTAGCGTGCAGCAATGATGAAAAAACAGAAATCATGTTTCTGAAAACAGAGTAACTGTCGATCGCTCTGAGTTACCCGGCTACATGTTACACCTGTTTAAGAAAGAGGATTACAGGGACACAAAAGGGAGAGAAATAATTACAGGGGGGAGATTTTTACATTTCCGTTTCAAGATTAAAGTCAAAATTTTAAAAAATCAAAATGTCAACTTTATTCACATTTAATCTCGAAATTTTAATCTTTAAATTTTGACTTAATTGACATATTTTAATTTTTTAAACTCCTAATTTCAACATTATTCAGGACATTTCATAATCTCAAAGTTACTGTTTATCTCAAAATTAAGATTTGATCTCCAAATTTTGTTTTTCTTATCTTAAATTTTCAACATTATTCATGACATTGTGTAATCTCAAAATTTTAATTTTTTAACCTTGAAATTTCAACATGATTCACGACATTTTGTAATCTTGAAATTTTCATTTTTTTAATCTTTAATTTTTGACTTTATTGACATATTTAAATTTTTTAAACTCTAAATTTCAACATTATTCAGGACATTTCATAATCTCGAAATTTCGACTTTAATCTAAAGTTTTAATTTTTTAATCTCGAATTTTTAACATTATTCAACATTATTAACAGATTACGACATTTCTTAATCTGGAAACTTTATCTCCAATCTTGAAATTTTCATTTTTAATCTCGAAATTTTGACTTTAATCTCTTTCCTGTCATAATGTATTTTCTCTTGGTGTGGCCCTAATCCTCTTCCGTACACGCTAACGTTTGTTTTATCGGAAATAACCCCGACCTTTGGCTGCAGCTCTGACGGATGAACAGACAGAACGATTCGCTCATTGACTTTCATGAAACAGCATCTATGTGATAATATCCTCGATCTGCCGTCTCACCGTCTATACTGTAGAGAATCCAGACCAGGTTTCTGTAGACCTGCAGCTGTGGTCGGTCGATGGTTCGTAATGAGGGCCGCTGTGTCACTAATAAGAGACCTCATCCTTTGATCCACCTGACGGCGAACAGACATCAATGCGTGAGCCGGTATAGAAACCAGGTCCTGACCCCGCATTCATCAAGACTCTCAGCTGAGAGCGCCATGACACTCGGCTGAGACAAAAGAGGAAGTGGACGTGGGGGAGGGGAGGGGAGAGAGAGGGGCGCCTGTTGCTTGGGAACCCTGTGGAGTGTGTTTTATCAGCGAGGGCACAAAGCATTGATCTTATGATAATGCTGTTAGGACGGCTCTGGTGTCGTTTTAATGACTTCATCTGTGATCTTTACGGAGTCTGAAACCAAAATCATCGAACAACAGATTTTACTTCATCTCGACCAAAACCACCAGCTGAGAACTTCAGTGTCTGCACCTGAGGCGTGTGGCGTTACCGCTTAGTTAAACCTGCGCTCTGTGCTATTTTATTTTGAAAGGGTTTCGAGAATTCTGACTTGAACCTGCAGCAGACTTTCAGTTGCTCCTAAAGTCAGTGTAAGGATGGAGATCCTGTCCTTGAAGTGGAGCCTCTCCTTCACGTCTAACCCCAAATTTTCACCACGTCCGGAACGGCGCCGTTTTTAGCTGTCCGCCAATTCCTCTCGGACCTGTTTGTGAGGCGAATTTTGTGGTGAATTATGGACAGCAGGAATCGTGAGAACTCACAAGAACCCGCGGATTCACGTTCAATCGTGCGATAACGAGTTGTCTCTCTAAAGACAGACACATAGACATATAAGCAGTAGATTGTGTCCTTCCAGAGGAGGAAATCTACTTCTAGACTTCTAGAATCAGCATCTCCTCATCCATGGTGTCATCGGGGTGAAATGACGTCTAAAAACCTTTCACTTGTTCGTCTCCGAGTGTTTTATTTTGAAAAGAAGCCGGATGTTTTATTTTGTGTCTGTGCCCGACTTCCTTTCCAGCACGGGTTAATCTGTGCTGAATTTATCCGCCATGCTCCGGCGTCCAGAAAAAATAGAACTCTTGTGATCAGCTGAGGAGTCCGGCGATCCGCAGAGGAACGGAAAGAAGTCGGTGTAAATTGACACGTTAACTTGAATGGTTACGATCAGCTACGATCGGAGGATACGACCTTTTAGGAGACGATCAGGATGAAGGGGGAGATTGGAGGTGACTGGAAGACACCTCTAGAGGGCGCACTACAGAGCTCAGGCTGTGTGAAACGACCTGCTGGATCGAGGAGATGTGAAGGAGAATCTAACTGGTTCTGCAGAGGTTACTGGTCTGAGGACTGAGAGTCTCCTCAGGGACAGATGACCATCAGCGTCAGCTCAGTACGGGTCGTCCAACTTTTCCCATCATGCTCGGCTCTGTCACGGTCCACTTCTTGTTTCCACCAATGAAACCGTCTTCTCTGCTGTCATTGTGACGGTGTGTCTGCTCTCGCTGGGCTGAGTCCACATCCTACAAACCGAGATAATTACAGACTTGGTGCATCAACTTGTCTGTCCTCTCGGAGTCTCTGCCTTTGTTTACCCGCCCCTCCTCCGCCTCCAGCGCACGCCGCGCTTCATGTCTGCATTGATATTGTTTGAGGGCGTGCACAGCCGACGCTTTAGTCTGATTCTGGGGGTTTGTGTCCGTGTGGTTAACCTCCATCCTGACTGTAAAGCCTCCTCTACCTCTCATGAAAGGACTCTTACTCTACCCTGTGAAAGCAAATGTCACAGAGATACGGTGAAGGGAAGTCATCCCACTGCTGAGGTGTCTTCTGAGGTCGAACCGACGAGTACATCACAGAAGAAGAATTTATTTCTGACAAACAGGAGAGAAATGAAACGCAGGACCAAAGAGTCTGCAGGTAAAGATTTCAGAGTGGATTATTAACGCTTTACTCTGACGGTGCAGTCCAGTTATTTTTAAAGAATATTTCAGCTGTGAGGAGGACGTTAAAAAAACAGGAAACTATCCCAGTAACCTCGGCGACGTCTGACCTGAAGGTTCTGCGTCGCTCTTATTCGTCCAAATTCAATCGAATGGCGGTCAGACGTCACCGCTCGTCCTGTCGACCAGCTCCGTGCTGGTGGTGCTCACGCCGGTGTGTGTGTGTGTGTGTGTTAATGAGGTTAATGGCAGTGCTTCTATGAACACTGGAGGTGAATTGGTGTTTGTGCGCCTGTGATGCTGCCAGTCCACTCCATCAGCGGGCTGCGATGATTCATCGTGGCTCCATTACGTCCAGGAAAGCGCTTCCTTTTGTCTCGACTGGAGAGGGAAAAAAAAAACAAAAGCATGAGGAGAAAAAGAGGCCGAAGAGACGCAGCCTGTCAATAGTGATTATACATGACAGGATGCAATTTCAAAGTGCACGCCTGTGTGTGTGTGTGTGTGTGCGTGCCTGTGTGTGTGTTTAGTCATCAGCATGTAGGTGTCTGCAGCCTGAATGGAAACATGAGCACAATACCATTTTGTTTTTGTCCCTTTTCAGTAAATAACACGTGCTTTTTCATGTCCTTTTAATTTTCTCTCCTTCAGTCGTGGACAGAAAGAGCAAAAGGCCAAAGAGGAGACGCAGCAGATCTGAAGAAGAGGAAGAGAGCGGAGGGAGGAGGAGGAGGAGGAGGAGCAGGAGGAGAAGGAGGAGGGGAGAATGAAAATGGACACGCAGAAGCAGATGAAAACAGTGCTAAGAAGAAAAAAGCTTTAGATCCTTCCTCCAAGCTCTCGGCGTTTGCTTTTAACAAAAACTGAAGATTCTTTAGGTGGAAAACTACTGAAACCTAAACTGTTGTCATTTTAGGCACTTAATCTGATCATTTATCCGCGTTTTTACATTCTCAACCTCGACCTCTTAAAAACCTTTAAATATATTAAAACAATTTCAATAAATGTCTTTTTTTTGTTGACTGTATCTTGTGTGTTTTTCTTGTCAGGACACCGAACAAAAGGACCAAAAAAATCATCAATTCTCTGTGAATTTCTGAAACATAAAAACTCGCCTAAAGAGAAGCTCAGTCACTTCCCCGGGAACTCTTTTACTCGCTTTCTGAAGGCTGGTTTGGAGGGTACAGATTTATGTCAGGTGTGTTTCAGGCGTTTATTTTTCACCCGTTCATCGACCCCTCATGCACTGCGGATGGCGGTTATGTCATCCTTCAGGGACCCCTCATCTGATTAGAGATGTCAAAGGATCCATGAAGAGGTTATCGGTCCGAGCGCTGACGTATGGATTTACAGTGACCCCTTCACCTGTGGGGGGGACAAGCGGACCGGACCTATCCCAGAGAAAGTTACCCACGGTGCATCACTCTTTAGCCACGAGATTCTCTTATCGAAGGGATCGAAGATTTAACGTCCCGTTCATCAGATCGCTTCTCTTTCATCACTCTGAGTCCGTGTCGCAGTCGGTTTCTTATCATGTTCGCCTCGTAACGCTGCAGAATAAGGACAGAGTAAATAACCCTTTAACATCTGAGAGTTTATCAATCAGAAATAGAATCAATAATGATATCAAGTCATTTAATTCATTTTATAACTGCTTCTTTTTTTCCTCCACAAATCTCACTTTTTAAAAAAAAAACATTTTTGCTGTAAATAAAATTCATTTCCCTGTTTTGTTCAATTTTATTTTTAAATAATCAGATTTTATTTTATTTTCAGAATTAATATTAAAATCATACAACAAATTATTTCAAGTCAGGTAGAAAAGGATAAAACATGAGGGGAAAAAACAAAACAAAGAAAAACAACAAAGTGTCATCAATTAAAGAAATATGTGTTCTTGTACTTTTTATCACCAGTCAGCTCAGTCTGGGACCCCCTAAACCACCGTCTCCTCTCTGTATAATTTCACTTTGACCTTTAGGAAAGTAATCCATAGGGGGCCGCCATGTGTCCGTAAAGATATCATCATTCCCTTTTAATTCGGCACTTTGCCTTTCCATCGGTGAAACTCTAAACATTTCTTTGTACCTCTGAGTTACAGCGGGAGGTTTGTCTCTAGTCTGATTAAATCGTTTATATTTTCTGTCCACAAATAAAAGTTTATTCGGTCATTTTGATCTCCTCACATCCATAACTCTGTTTGTCGATGACAATAGAAACTGACCCGTATCTTTAAATATCTTGTTTTTGAATCTTGCTCTCACTTCTTTAGATACACATGAGCAGAACTTTGATATTCTTGGACAGCTCCAGAAGCAGTGTGTATATTTATATATATATATATATATATATATATATATATATATATATATATATATATATTTATATATATGTTCCATTTGTTAACTTAGATTTAAGGCACAATATTGATCTATTAGAGTCAGTTTTGTTCATAACCTGAGCTGTCCTGTCTGTCTGTCTGTCTGTCTGTGAAGTATTCTACTATACTGTATTTCTTTGGTGAGTGGTCTGAAGACATCTTCACTGTAAACACTCTGAAGGTCCTCCTCCCATCACTGAACAAGTCCATCAATATTGTGTTGGTTATAACTCTGTAGACTATTATAAAAGTATCTAATAAGACTTTTGTTCATTTTTTAATACAGTATAATTGGACTTTTAATAGAATACTTTGTAAATGATATATGAAGCTGTTAGAACATTTAATCAGTTTTTACAGAAATAAAAAGTTACGATTTTTTAAAATTTCACGATAATCGCGGTTAAATCCATACTGCTAAGATGCTACACTGGCTGTCGTGAAAGAGTGATTCATTGAACTCCTAAAACTCTTTCTGTGATACCTTAAGTATTAATCTAATGAAACTACTGAGAGTTTTATTAGCCGGGTTGTTGTTTTCCGCTTGGACCAGAATAACCGGGCTGGCTGGTTCCGCCTGATTCCGATGGTAAAGCTAATCTAGGTTAGCGGCCGCCTTGTAGTAACAGAGAGATTTAACAAAGAGAGGACACCTCTGTGTGAAGTCTCTCTACTTTAATGTCTCTGCAGAGTTTTTCTGATACTTGGACCCTTAACATCCATTTTTTTAAAAAGTCTTAATTTACACTGTGTTTGCAGTGTATAAATCTGGGCTATTTGCTCATTTTCTTTCTTTTTTTTAAACAATTTATTGATTAACATTTTTTCAAAAACGGTTTAAAACTTCCATAACAAGAATAGAACTACAAATTTCAGCCAAACCTTCTCAGAGCAAACCCCACAGGCCAACTCTTAACTACATCCCTAAAAAAAAAAAAAATAATATATAAAAGAAAATATAAATGTAAATTATTAAAAGGATCTAATAAATTAATAATAATAATAACAATATTAATAGTTCAAATAATACATAAACAAATTAGTTAAATACCAAAACAAATAAATAAAAATGATAGTAAAATACATGCAGCAAAGGTAAAGACATTGACTCTCTATGTTAAAATTAACATAGTCTGTTTATCAGCAGTTGTCATAATGAAACTTTGATTTTATTTTTACAGAGAGAGAAGACAGCTCTCCAAACTCCAGAGCATGTTGATCTTATTTTATATTAACGTTTGTTTAATGACTTTTTCTTTAATTCAACAATAAACATTTTCTGTGTCTGACTTTAATTTTCACTTTAAAGTTAAAAAATGAGAATAACAATAATTTTGTTCTTGTTTTATAATCTTAATATCTGGCAGATCCAAACAGTCGTCTCAGACGCAGGGAGATTTTCTACTTTACAGCTGCAGGCTCCGCCTTCGGAGGAGTAGAGAGGATGATCGCGCAACAAGCGTGTGCGTCGAATAAAAAACACAATTTCACTGAACAATGTAAGAAACATATTTGCAAAATAACAGCCGATTAAACTGACGCTTTCTTGTTTTATGTGATTTTCACTCCTGGACCTCAGCACACAGCGTCTCCACAGAAGTCCAAGTCGGCAGTTCTGATGAATATTTTGGGTGATAACAATTAAACCTGGTTTTTTTAACGTTACAAGAGCATTAAAATCTTTGAATTTAGAATTACAAAAACTAATTATGATAATAAATAAAATTAAATAAATTTATATGAAATATTTATTATTATTTTCCAAATCCACAGGGAAGAAAGAGCCGGGGGTTGCCGACCACTGACCTACTCTGTCCAGCAGGGGTGCAGAGAGGGTTTTGGGTCAGTCCTGGTTCTGGATCAGTCCTGGTTTTGGATCTGCTGGGCTCTCCGGCTCTGCAAACACCCCTCCTTCTCTTTTCATCTGATCCACATTTTGTTTATTCATAATATTTTGATTCCAAGAGTGTGAAATGTGTGACAACAAGCCCCGGTCTCCCCTATTGTGTGAATCAGTTTCATCCATAACAGAGACGCAGGAGATGGCCCCGCCCCCTGGAGACAGTCAGCCAATCGCAGTGCCCCGTGGATTATCCTGTTGTTATAAAGGCTGGGGATGGAGCTGCAGTTGGAGTGAAAGTAAAAAGAGATCAGAGGAGAGAGAGAGAGAGAGAGAGAGAGAGCTTCAACAAGTGTTCATCAGGAGAAAAGAAGACGAGCTGAAGAAGAAGAAGAAGAAGTGATGGATCACTCCAAACAGACTCAGTACACCTCCAAAGAGAAGACAGACTCCGGGGACAGCAGCTCCGTCCCGAACGGACACTTTGACGGGCTGGTGAAGCGGCCGGTCGGCGGCTCCGCGCGCACCCCGACCCCCCAACCTCCGGGCGCGGAGTGCGGCTCCCACCGGCCGGCCAGCAGCATGATGGAGAGCTGGAGGGAGGAGCGCACCAGGAGCGTGGAGGACAACGAGATGAGCCTGCCCTCCCTGGCTGCAGCCTACACCACCATCCTCCGGGGGCTCGGGGAGGACCCTCAACGGCAGGGGCTCCTCAAGACCCCCTGGAGAGCCGCCACCGCCATGCAGTTCTTCACCAAGGGTTACCAGGAGAAAATCATCGGTGAGTTTTTAATCCATAAATCCGCTCAGAGGGGCTGAGGATTTGGACTGAGGTTCAACAGGTGTCACTGAGACTGTCAACACAAGTCCCCAAATTCACCATCAGGACAACAGACAGAGAGAACAGACTGAGAGGACAGACAGTACACAGGTCTGTGTGTGTAAATGACTTAAAATGAGACTATTGACCGATTAGAAAGATGTACAAAGACCTAATAAAGTAAATTTACTGCAGATAAATTCATATAAACATAGATATAAAAGTAAATTTATTTATTGACATTGAGCTATTTGTTAAAAACGTCAGAACCTAACCTTCCTTTATTAAAAACAACAACTAACCATGAAACAAAAGTTTCAGGTAATAGGGGAGACCGGGGTAAGATGAGCCCCCCTCCTGTGTTTGGAAATGGTCAAAGAAATTGATCATGTGACCAAATATTTAGGAGATGGTCATCAATTCATAGAGTGTGTGAAGGTTTGAAGCACATGGGTGAAGAAGAGGTTAGACATTTATTTAAAGAAATAAAAACATTTTTCTTCCCTCTGTGAAGTGAATTTAGTCTTTAGTCATCAGTTTGATTAGAATTGAGTTCAGACTAAAAAAAGATCATTTTATCCCTTTAACCCTCTGTAGTCTGGGGTATAATCGGCTGTTTTTAACTACTCCTGGTTTTATATTTCCACTTAAAAACTGTTTACCTCGTCTTGTTCTGTATCATTTTTTTCAGCACAACCTCACTGTGAATTTAGTTATTTTATCATTTTGACAAACTGTATTAATGCCCGACTCCACAAATGAAATGTTTATTTTATTTACTGCTGAAAACCAAAAAAAATCAAAATGTCCTTAAAATTTAACAAATATATTTATTGATCTGGTTTGATACATTAGATGTTTTTGGAAACTGATAAACTAAAAGAGGACATTTTTATCATTTATCAGACTGTATTCAGGAGTTATTTTACTAATTTGTTGATCATATTGATTTGATAGAAGTATCATAAAAAGGCATTAAAGGGTTAAATTAGTTTTATCCATCAGTTGTGGTCTCTATGAGCTCCAACATGAGGTCAGAAACCTAACAGTCCACCATTTTATCTTAGAGGACTAATAAAGTCCTCATAGTAGTTCAGGGGGAACAGAGACAGTAAAGGAGTCTGAGGAGAGGATCAGAGTTTACCTTCAGACTGTTGAAACTGTTTCTTTTCATAAATACAGATCTGTGAATGTTCTTACCCCAAACATACACAGGAGACTCCTTTTTTGTTGTCCTGCTGTATTATAAATATGACAGTTCTGTTTACACTCATTCTGATGAACAACATCCTGAAATATCTGCAGAGACACGAGTTACAGACTAAACTTGGACTGACTTGATGGACTGAAATATGAAACTCTCACTCTCCCCTAAACATAAATATTCAGATAAATGAAATGAAATCTAAAAGCACAAAATCGCCAAAGTAAATATATTTATTGACACTGAGCTATTTGTTAACATCCTAACCAACCTTTATTTAAACTAACTAAACAAGTTTCAGGTTTACTTGTTCGTCACCATCAGTCATGAAATTATCACTCTAAAATATGACGTATGTTGAACCATAATTAAACACCAGTCATTACGCTCTGAGAAAACTAAAAACTATAATATGAGAAATTAGCGTTTTAAAGAAGATTGTGGTCAGCTGGAGCAGAAGTGAACTGTTCGTGTTTTAAAGTTAAACAAACACATTATCAAGTTTTAAAAATGGACCCGCGGAAAGTTCTAAACAGAACCTCCTGCGTTCGGGTTCAGGTTGTTGCTGCATCAATTATTGATTATTAGAATCTGTTCGATCTTTTCTGAAGTCTCTTATAAGAAGAAAACCGTTACTGCAGCTTTTAAAATGACCAGAATTACAGAGGGAGCGGAGAATACTGTGACTTTAAAGCTTTTATCCTGTTTAAATGAAATGAAATAAACACACTTCAGGTGTGAACAGAGCTGTATTTAGAAGAGCTGAGGCGATTATTGATTAGAAGTTTAGCAGAAATGGACCCAATACTGCAGGGATAATCTATTAATCGTTCAAATCACTTAAATGCTCGTTAGTGTTACATGTGTTTGGTGTTTTTCTGTTTAATATGACAGAAAAAATCAAGATTTCAAGGTTGATGTTTTTTTTTTTTTAGTTTCCTCCGATGTCAGAGCCGACTGAACGACCCACTCATTTATTATCTGTGAAAAACGGATCCGTTTCAGTTTTTGTCTGAAACTTTATGGAGGAAATCATGAATGAAAATCACTCAGACGCTCCTTTTAAAGAAAAAACTGTTTCTCTACCTTTCATCACCCGCTGATGAGGTTCCTTCACAGCATGTTTGATCGGCCAGTTTCTCCAACTGTAGACCAAATGATGGCACCAACTCTCCCGCTCCTCATCCTCTTTACCTGACGTCCAGGTGTCGACTCTTCTTCACTTTTAAAGGAAACGTTTGTGAGAATTCGGCTGATTTTAATCGCCTTTAAATCAGCTGATCGTGTCAATCATTTCTGCTTTTTACTGCGTCTTATGGAAACTTTTGGATCATTTCTGGAGGTCTCAGCAGCTCCGTCCGTTTCTTTATTAAAAACACACGCAGTTATAGACATGTGCAGAGAAAGCTTCTGTTTGACTCATTATGATTTATGATTTAAGATCAGATGTTGACTGTCGTTCGGCGTTAAAGTGGTCATGATGTTGTTTTTTTAAAAGATATGGACTGAAATAAAGGGGCAGGTAAATTCAGGCTAGTGCGACGTCATCTAAGGTGCCATGACAAAAACAGGTTTAAAGTTTCAGGAATGAACGAAATAAAAATCGTGTTTTTTTCCCTTTTTTATGAGTCACTCTCATGTAAACCAAAGCTGTTTCAGTAACTCGCTCTCTGCCATCGTTACAGACCTTAAAAACAACCTCTGACCCCTCAGTGAAACATGAACAGTTATCTCCTTACAGCAGCGCTGCCAAGTTTCAGAAAATGACGAGAGTGAGACTTCAGCGTTATGATGTGTTCGGTCAGCGGTGATTTTTTTAACCTTTTTTTTATGTTGATTTTTACGTTAAGACTGATGTCCTCACCTCCACGCCAGCTGCTCTCCCTAATGCTCGTCTTAATTAACTAGAAATTAGAAATGAAAATCGTGACAAAAATACATTTATTTGTTATTTTGCGTTGTGTGTGAAAGATAGTTAGAGATGCCAAGACCCGAAAAAAACTCATCGTTTCAGTTACCAAGTCGGAAAAAGCAAAATCGGAGGCGGAAAAAGATGGCTACATCCATGGAAGTTGTTTTAGTGTTTGCCGTGTCCGAATATAAGGCAAACGCTAGAATAACATTCGTAGATGTAGCCATCTTGTTTCCGCCTCCGATTTTGCTTTTCTCCGACTTGGTAACTGAAACGCTGGGAACTCAGGTGTGACGTCATTTTCAGCTCCGACTTCTCGAACGCAGCATTCGGCACAAAGGACTGATTGATCGGTCTGGGATTGGTTATCTCAGTCAGTCAATCAGAGTTCCTCGGACTACGGCGAGCCGAGTTTATTGTCATGAAACAAATAAATACAGAGTATTGAACGGGGAAAAATAGGCGTGAGAAATGTCGTGTGGTGTGAGAACGGGTCAAAGTGCGTGACTGTCACACTCAAAGCATGACGCTTGGCAGCTCTGTGACTGTGTTTTGTTGAACTTAAAGCTGAAAGAGAGACTCTGGTTTCGGCTCATCATGTCTGACAGAAAAACACAATTTCTTCATGGAAATACAATCAGACCGAGACGCTGAGACAGAAGAACTACCGCGTCTGTAAAATGATTAATATGGTGATTATTACTTCAAGGAAATGATAAAGAAATGATCATAAATGTTCTTCCTTGAGCTGCGACACCCCGCTGTAGTCCATAATGGACTGGCCTGAGGTCTCACTACAAACAAGCGTCTGCTGGAAGAGAGTAGGTGAGTTGTAGCAAGAAATGAGTCAAAGTTAAAAAGATGTTTGGTGTCTAGTACTATGGCTGTGACCCTATATGTACTAACCTCAGTAGAACATGGTGTAGTTCCGTTCAGTAACAGAACCTCATTGGAAAATTAGCTGATTTAACTTTACTGTGCTCTTGTTCAAATATATTAACTCAACAGCACATATATCCATACCTGTTAACAAAATCATGATTTTATTGATAATTCGGCTCAATAAAAACACCTTTACCTTTTCATTTTACTACAGTAGAAGTTTATTGGCCCAGCTTACAGACTACAGAAGTGGAGAAACGCCCCCGCTTAAGTTTATGTTTTCTTAGGAGTTAGAACAACTCTGAATATAGTACTATGTCTGTGACCCTATATGTCCTGTTGATGAAGTTAGGTGCTGTTCTGAGCATTATTTGTGGCTATAGAGTGGCGTTTTGGTTGAGGGCGTGGCTCTCTGTATTTCTATCCTGCGGTCGTTACTAAAGTTGGTATAACTAGAGAAACAAGCGGTCGACAACATTCATCTCTGGAGGGGGGGTCTAACTCTAAGTTAATTTTACGTCGGAATATCCCTTTAACAGAGACCAAGACGACAGTTTTGAGAGGGAAAACTTCTCAGACGTGAACAAAGTCAGCAGAAATAAAGATGCACTGCTTTGTCCAGAGGGGGCGCCAACAGGAACAGGAACCATGAATTCCTGTTTGGAGATGTGAGAGTTTGGAGCTTTTTGGTCACACAGGTTCTTGTACCCGGGACAGCAGGAGTGAAAGGTTGGGGTGACTGGATCCCTCCTCTGGTCTGGGTTTGATCCAGTAAGACCGGCCCCGCCTGGCTCGCTGCTCTGGAGCCGCTTCCACAGACAGTTTGCTGAGTCATCATGTGCAGAGGAGGGTTGGGGGTTTGGAGCACATGGAGAAGGGGTTGACACACAGCGTTGGGTCCACATTGGCCGGATTCTCCACGCTATGGCGCGTTGGAGTGGCTGCTGACGGGGTCTGCCCCCTCTTCTCCATCTCCAGAACTCCATCTGGAGCCAGTTTGTGTGTTGGGGGGGTCGTTTAGTGCTTTTAGCGAAGCTGTAATGACGAGGGGAAGAATGCAGTGAAGTGAGAAAACGTGAGGGTCCATGTGAAAGGAGGCCGGTGTTGTTCAGGAGCAGGTATGACGGGGTGAGCTCAGGTTCCTGTTACATCTGGGCGAGAGGAGGGACGGTGCGATGAGATACCGATGATACACATGTGTGTTGTTATTCAGGCGGCGGTGGTCTGTCTGCGTGCTGATTGGCTGTAACCAGAGACTCCCCTTTGAACACAAAAAACACGTGTTTTAGTTTTCAGACTGCTGCAGCGCGTTTGTGGAGAGGTGGAGCATTTTTGGAGCGTTTCACACTGTTTGATTGCTGTGATTACGTGTGTGTGTGTGTGCGTGCGTGCGTGCAGGTCATGGGTCTAGCTTTCATCACAACATGAGCTAGAAATCCTCTTGTTGTTGAGCACATGACCAACAAACTGCAACAAGGAAGTGTTCAAGTGTTGTGTGGAGATTAGGCAGGAATTTTGAGCTTGTGATGTTGGAGAATCCAGATTACAGAAGCTCCAGACTTCTGTTCATGTTTTCATCAATAATCATGTTTTCATCAATAATCATGTTTTCATACATGATCATGTTTTCATCAATAATCATGTTTTCATCAATAATCATGTTTTCATCAATAATCATGTTTTCATCAATGATCATGTTTAATCAATAATCATGTTTTCATCAATAATCATGTTTTCATACATGATTATGTTTTCATACATGATCATGTTTAATCAATGATCATGTTTTCATCAATGATCATGTTTTCATACATGATCATGTTTTCATCAATAATTATGTTTTCATCAATAATCATGTTTTCATACATGATTATGTTTTCATCAATAATCATGTTTTCATACATGATCATGCTTAATCAATGATCATGTTTTCATCAATAATCATGTTTTCATACATGATCATGTTTAATCAATGATCATGTTAAATCAATGATCATGTTTTCATATATACTCATGTTTTAATCAATGATCATGTTTTAATCAATGATTATGTTTTCATCAGTACTCATGTTTTCATCAATAATCATGTTTTCATACATGATTATGTTTTCATCAATAATCATGTTTTCATACATGATCATCTTTTCATCAATAATCATGTTTTCATACATGATCATGTTTTCATATATACTCATGTTTTAATCAATGATCATGTTTTAATCAATGATTATGTTTTCATCAATAATCATGTTTTCATACATGATCATGTTTTCATCAATAATCATGTTTTCATCAATAATCATGTTTTCATCAATGATCATGTTTTCATATATACTCATGTTTTAATCAATGATCATGTTTTAATCAATAATCATGTTTTCATACATGATTATGTTTTCATCAATGATCATGTTTTAATCAATGATTAGGTTTTCATCAATAATCATGTTTTCATACATGATTATGTTTTCATCAATAATCATGTTTTAATCAATACTCATGTTTTCATACATGATCATGTTTTAATCAATGATCATGTTTTAATCAATGATCATGTTTAATCAATAATCATGTTTTCATCAGTGATCATGTTTCTCTAAATACGGAGCTCGTTGGAAAATGATATTTTAGTCTAAATGTGAATTGATTCCTGGAAACCTTTTTAAAAAATGGTCATAAATGTTATTTAGTGCGACTTCAGTCAAACTCAGATGTTTACATCCATCGATCTTCTTCTTCTTATCCGGGGTTGGGTTGGACTTCTCTCTCCTGGACACGTCGTCCAGTTCTTCACCAGGAGACCCCGAGGATTTTCTTCCCCGTTGTCTTTTACCGGTGAGGCGTCCAGGATTCATCTTGGATTCCCCAAACCGCCTCCTCTGACTCCTCCCATCGTGAAGGAGCAGCAGCTCGACTCTGAGCTCCTCCTGATGACCGAGCTTCTCTGAAGGAGAGCCCAGAAACCCTGAGGAGGAACCTCATTTCAGTCGCTCGTACCCGTGATCTTGTTCTTTGGGTCAGTACCTACAGCTGATGACCGTAGGTGAGGGTAGGAACGTAGACCGACCAGTATAGACCAGTGTAGACCAGTATAGACCGGTATAGACCGGTATTGGAGAGCTTTACCTCTTCACCTCCACAGACCTGTGCAGCCCTCACCCAGGACTACAGACCTACATAATCAGCGTCTGTGGGCAGAGTTGGACCGTGGCGTCTGTGCTCCGATACGACTGACCAGTCTGCAGTCAACGACCCGAGCTTTGAGGGATTATTCTGATTGATCACAGATTAGATATGATTTGATTAGCTGAAGGGTTGGCTGAGGACACAGAGATTAGATATTTCTATATTTTCACATAGATTCACAAGAATGTGTTTTTCATGTATTTGGTGAGTTTATAATCTGTTAGATTATTGGCGTTAAAGAAGAACAGGAGACGTCTGAGGTGAAAATAACCCCGCCCCCTTTTTCTGTCGTGTTTTTTTACATTGACGTGAAAAACGGTTCTTTACATTTAAAGCAGGCGGTGACCCCGACCCTCCCCCTCATTAACCTTATTTTTATATGAACAGAAACAGACTGAGCAGATCTGAAATCATCAGGAAATCTGAATATTATGGGATGGAAATAGAAAACAGCGACAGGCTGTCAGCTGATCATCATTAATGTGTCAGTATGTCCTTTAAAAACACAGCAGTGAGTCATTACTACAAGCTCCAGGTCATGACTATGAATAGGAAGTGTGTGTGTGTGTGTGTGTGTGTGTGTGTGTGTGTGTGTGTGTGTGTGTGTGTGTGTGTGTGTGTGTTAGTGGCACCGTCTCTCACACACACGCGTCAGTCTCTCTGAACATTAAATACTAAAACCTTGTTTATTCAGTCGTTTGCGTATTAACTGTATCCTGCTTCGTTCTGAACATGTCCACACAGAGGCTCTACACACACACACACACACACATACACACAAACACACACACACACACGCTCTGTTGCCCGTGGCGTCTGAACACTCAGTCCTGAGCAGCTGCTCGGCGTTGAGTTCAGGTTAGTGTGACGTCGACTCCCTCCTCGCTCTGAGGCTGATCTTTACTGTCCCTGTGGAGCAGGTTTGATGTTTTTTAATTTCAACATCTAGTTTCTCTAACTCTATATTATCATTATCATAACTAGATGCTGCTCTGCTGGAGAACAGGAGATGGTGAGAATTAGTCTTTACCTGAGTGAAGGAGTTCATGAATCTGGGGTCGAGTTCATGGATGTGGTCTCAGTTGTTGAAGCAGGTGACGTGCGGACTGTTGTCGACCGCTTGCTTCTCTAGTTATACCAACTTTAGTAACGACCGCAGGATAGAAATACAGAGAGCCACGCCCTCAACCAAAACGCCACTCTATAGCCACAAATAATGCTCAGAACAGCACCTAACTTCATCAACAGGACATATAGGGTCACAGACATAGAACTTTATTCAGAGTTGTTCTAACTCCTAAGAAAACATAAACTTAAGCGGGGGCGTTTCTTCACTTCTGTAGTCTATAAGCTGGGCCAATAAACTTCTACTGTAGTAAAATGAAAAGGTAAAGGTGTTTTTATTGAGCCGAATTATCAATAAAATCATGATTTTGTTAACAGGTATGGATTTATGTGCTGTCGAGTTAGTATATTTGAACAAGAGCACAGTAAAGTTAAATCAGCTAATTTTCCAATGAGGTTCTGTTACTAAACAGAACTGCACCATGTTCTACTGAGGTTAGTACATATAGGGTCACAGCCATAGTACTAGACACCAAACATCTTTTTAACTTTGACTCATTTCTTTAGCAAAGACACTAAACACAACTCACCTACTCTCTTCCAGCAGACGCTTGTTTGTAGAGAGACCTCAGGACAGTCCATTACAGACTACAGCGGGGTGCCGCAGCTCAAGGAAGAACATTTATGATCATTTCTTCATGGAAATACAATCAGACCGAGACGCTAAGACAGAAGAACTACCGCGTCTGTAAAATGATCAATATGATGATTATTACTTAAGGGAAATGATAAAGAACTCGGTGTGTTTGACCCTAAATTATTTTGGCGTTAAAGAAGAGCAGGAGGAGACAAACTGACCTTCTCCAGGCTGTGAAGTAGATTCTTTAAAGCTTTGTCCTGGACACCTACTTGCGCGGATATCTGCCCCTTGACCTGTAGGGGATGAGGACTGAGAACTTCAGTCTTATCTGATATCTCCTCAGACTTGGTGAAACCGTTTTTTTCACAGGACTGTTCTCCTGAAAACTCCGGACATTGTCGAGGTCGGGTCATGTGATCAGCGACCCTTTATTTGGTCATTTCCTGTTCTTGAACTCTAACCTTGTGATCGGTGAGTTCCTGTTAAGCCTCTTGTAGGAAAAGCGCCGTGAGAGATTGAAGAACCAGATGTACTCGGCGCCGCCTGATGTAACAGGAGCGTCTCTAATCCGATTTGACAGCAGACATCCGGATCAGGGAGACCTCTTTAGACCAGGGTCTGAAGGTTTTCACGAACCGGGTCAGGTTTTTAGTTTTAATCATCTCTGAGGACGGACTGTTTGTCCTAAGACGAAACTTCTGTTAAATCACGTCAAAGCGTCCGTGGACTTCTCCGTTGGTACGACTCGCCGCATGTGTGGACAGGAAGTTCCCATGATGGTCAGATGATAAGCTCGATTAATACCTGGTTCGATGTTCCAATGAAGCTCGATAATCTCAGGATGTTTTAAATGAACACAGAAATTCAGGAAATACAAACAAAAACCTTTTGTGACGTTTAACTCGAACTTGTCGGATTGAAGTTTCTACAAACCTGAAGCTTTTTAAAAACGTGAACTGATGAACTATGAAGAGTTATTTTTAAATCATTCTTGTTTCTCTACCTGAACTTCAAATTAATAATGTACCAAAAAAAAAATCTGTTTCTAATGGAGTCAGGGACGTTTCAGTCTTCTTTACCTGCTGCAGACTTGGACGTGTTTTTGGGTTGAAAAGGACATTTTACGGGACCTGTTTGAGACACTGACTCCGCCTACTTTTCGCCTGAGACAGGAAAAAGAGGCGGAGCTAACGTGTGTTTGGTAAACAGCTCCAGCATCTCATTTTCCAAATCTGGTCCTAAATCTCAGATTAAATAGAGACGAAAACATTTGAAGTGAGTTTGTTTTTAACTGGGATGTTGAGTGGGATTACACTTCTGTGAGCTGGTTTGAGTTTACAGATTTGGTTTACGGACAAAAAGTCATAATAATATAAAAAAACCAGAGAGGTCATTTCCTATAAAAAGATCTAAAGAAGAAACAGAAAAGGAGACACCCACCAAGTCTCCTTTCACTGTTACGCAGACCACACACAGATTTACCGACCCTTCCTGTGAGACCTGAGGATCCAGGAGGTCTGTCTGCTGTCATGGACGTCTGAGTGACGTTAACAGAAAATTTCCTTCATCCAAATTATTCAAAATCACACAAAACTCCCCCCGCATCTCGGTCCACATTCAGCAATCATCAAACCAAGAAATCTGGGAGTAACCTTCGATTCAGACCCCGCCTTCTCCACCCACATCAACAAGATCGTCCGGTCCTGCTTTTTCACCTGCGTTCAGTTTTAAAGATGAAACAAATCCTCACCCCACCAGATCTTAAAATAATAATCCATGTTTTCATTTTCTCATGTTGGACTTCTGTAACTCTCTCCTCCCTCCTCAGACCGGTTCAGAACGCAGCAGCTCGGCGTTTAACTGTTTTTAGTCGACGGCGTCACATCGGTCCAGTTTTATCCTCCCTTCACTGACTTCCTGTCAGTTTTAGAATTGATTTTAAGATTTTATCGATCACTTTTAAAGCTCTCAAAGGACTCTCTCCGAGCTCCATTTCAGAGCTTTTACTACCTTCTGAGTAAAACTCTCAGATCCTCTGGTGAAGTCCTCCTGGTCGTTCCAAAGTCTCCAAACTAAAGCTGATCGATCTTTGTCCATCAGAGCTCCTCGACTTTGGAACGACCTTCAGAGGAGAGAAGGAGAACAGCAGAGACAGACGCTTCTTTAAAAACTCACGTCTTTTATCTCTTTTATTGATTTTATTGTTTTTTCCTGTTATTTCATTTTATCATTTCTATTACCATCATTATTATTTTGCTATGTCATTATTAATATCGTCTTTGTATGTTTACTTTCCTGTTTCCTGTTTTCTACCCCCTTTTTTACTAACGTATTTTTCGCCCTATAAGGCGCACCATAAACGAACGCGTCTATTTTCATCCGTAAAGTTCACCGGATTATAAAGCGCATTAAGACAAACGAAACAGTCAAATCAGTCAAACTTTATTCAACTCATTCAATAACTCAGCGAGGCTACGGCAGCTGCAGTTCTCCGACAAACCACAAGGGTTTGAAGTGCGCCTTATAGTGCGAAAAATACGGAACATTTCTTCTTTGACCTATTTAATGTTTTTATTTTGGTCCTCATGGTCTCTCTTTGTGTTGTAGGGTTCTTGTATTTTCTGGGTTCCTTACGAAAAATGAAATTGGCCTTTAATCAGAGTTTTTTTTTTAAATTTGTTTGTATTTTCATGTTCTGAGCTTCACGACTGTTTGTCGAAGAACTTTATAAACTCCTGTTTTTAAAAGTGATGGAAAAATAAAGTTATTATTATTATTACAGATAAATCACAGCCTGTCAGGACTTTTCCCTGTAGAGATTTGTGACTCTAAATGTCTCCAAAAGTCCATGATCAAAAACTGAACCAGATCCTCAGACCATCAGAGGAGACCATCATCTCAGGTCTCAGACCACCTGTCACCTGTTCAGAGTCAAAGGAAGACACTGAAGCAACAAGTCCGTCTGTTCTGGGTTCATCAGCGACCCCGGACCCTCTCCCTCTGACAGATAACCAGTCAGGAAATTAAAAAAGCGCGGCGGTGAGCGAGAGGCGTCTGCATCGTCACTGACAGATAAAGCGGTTTATTGAACCCCGGACGACTGAGAAATGCAATAAAGCAACAACAGGAAGGAGCGAATGGGAGCAGAGCTATAATTAGACTGTGAGGATGTTTGCCTGAGAGAAACAACACGAGTCGACGATAAAGAGAGAGAGAGGAGCAGGTGAGAGGGGCAGGTCAGCGTCCAGGTGGTTTCCATCCGTCCGTCATCGCAGAGACGGAGAGTGACGCCCGTTTAACAAAACAAAAACCCTGTTTGGTTTATCCGGCTCAAGACAAACGGCACATAAACAGAGCCAAAGTCGATTTATTATAAATAAACAACTTAGAAATGGAAACTGTGGATAATCTGGATAATCTGTTATTCTGGATTAGGACAGACGGAGCGAAGACTTTAAAACGATGAAAAATCAAATTCACATGTTTTTATTCAGAGTAAGTTTGTATGTGGATTAAATTAAAGTGATTTAAAGGATCAGAATAAAC